CATGAAGGTCCCTCTAACAATGTTATCTCAGGAGATTCATCGAAACCAAGTTTCTCTTCGTATCTTTAGTTCATTAAGTTTTAGCGACCATTTCCTAACCATGTTTACGATAGCTTGCTTTGTTTGTGAAAGTAATAAGGAACTTGATGAACAAAAGATTGGATGAATTACCTTCTTTTCATGGACTGCTCAGCAACCTCCATTCTTACTTAAATTAGTAATCCGTATTTTTAGCATTCAATGCATAGTCTTATTTCTTGTTTTCAATGGCCTCTAATTTTGCACTTAGCTGCCAACATAACTTAATCAGCAAAATGATAAATTTGAGACTATTCAACCTCATGTCCATTTCCTGCGGTGCGTTCCTCCATCTCTGATCCTTGAAGCCAATAGCCTCTACACATACTTTTGGGTTCAGACAACCATTTTAGAATGGGGTAAGTCTCTACAGCATAAAAACGAACACACGAATACATATTTCTATCACAACCTGATCTGGATAATGGGTCAATTTTCTCTCTATAAATAGGCATAACTTAAAACCGTGTCATGCTTTTTTTAAACTATCTTTATTTCCCACTTCATTATTAGTTCCTGTATCGTTTTAGAGAGAACGCATAAAGTCATAGTCAGGACATTAGAGAAGGTCTTTGTATTTTCATCTGAGAGCAAATATTCACGATTTGATACGCATTCCATATTAATATGATATTATTTTCAATTAAGCCTAGAAGATAATTATGCTAAGATAATATTATTTTAAGCCTCACACTTTGAATAACGATTGATTTCAAGAGCTAACCTTTGTTTTACAACTATCTTTAAAGAAAAACTAAAGGATAATGATACAATTTATTGGTTTCATATATACATCCTAGTCCCATATCCTGAAAACGAAAACATCAACAAATTGTAGACTATTTTTTTTCATTTCCATTATGCCTTTGACGAATTAGCGCTTGCTTGATTAGTTCACCTAGACTCAGCCATCTGAATTGATGGCCTTACGGCAGCCTGTTCTCAAAAGTCACTTCTAGACACAGACTTCATCTGGAACCCAACTGCGGCTACAGAGTGAGCAGGTTTCCTAACAAGCCACGGATAATTTAAGAGAATTAGAGTCAGCTGGGGTGGGTCAAAATAATGACAACTTACAAACATTACATTGTGTGAACTTCAACTTTTTATGTAATAAGTAAGCTTCGATACTTTTAGTATATCTTGAATAAGAGTTTTAGTTAATCATGATAGCATATGGTGACATAAAGCTGATAGTTAGATTGTGCCATAGTGACATCAGAAAACCTCATAATTCCACCAAGCCTTGTATCCCAGATAATAGTCCCATCCAAGGTGGGCTGAATTTTAGATCTCATTTGGGTTTCCTAAGCATTTATTTAACAGGGACCAAACCTGGATAGTACAGCGTATAATATCGTCATTTTAACATTACACTGGTACACTGCCACAGATGCCAGTGGGTCACAGGTTAAGTGTGAATTTCCGGAAAAGTCAGGCTTCTCCAATATCAATTTTATACTTTGATCATAGATGAAGAAAACTTGTATTCTTTTTCGTTTATAAAAGAAAGCTTTCGAAATTACATATCATAACACGTTTTTTATGTCATTACAACCGTGTAAGTCAGTTATATTCATAATGTGTAGATTATGCAACTATCACTAACCCGTGAATAAAAGCTGTAATCATTAAATCTTTGTAATGAGATGTATTCACCCTATTTCGTGTAAGGTGATGAAGGACTGGTGGTCCCAAGCAAAGGTGGCAAGGAAGATATATATATATATAAATTGAAAGTTTGCTCTTTTCTTAGCTAAAATTTGTCTATCGAAATTGCATAATTTATACTTTTAGGACAACTATTGGGCATATGTATGTCTTAAAAATGGTTTATTTCGAGGCTATCTGCATTTGTGAA